GCCACTTGGGATTTGAGGGGGGAATGGATATTGGTCCTGTTCCTGTTCCTGGTCCTTCCTCATCCTGGTATTGGCATATTGGAGAGGATTCTACGACGCCAGCTGCAGTATTCTGCTGCGGTTATTCCGTGGGTGGATGGGTGGCCATCGATACGGCATCCATTGTTGCGCCGTAAGTAGCACTTTCATAAGCAAACACAACGAGCGCAAATCAAAATCGTAACGCGTTCGATTTCTTAAGTAAATCAAATAAAAATAAAACAAATCATCTACAGATAGACTTCGAATAGACACTCGCACACTGGCAGCAGACTGTAAATACAGATTTAAAAATTGAATTGCTTTAATACTTCTGATTAAGTATATTTTATTTATTGTATCTACAGGCATGTTATGCTTAATTTCTTATCTTAATTTTAACAATTCAAATATTGATAGGTACGCTTAGCTTTCCTTTCCTTATTTGTTCATTTAACTCGTGAAAAATTTTAATAAAATTCTCTAACTTTTAACTTTTGTTTCATATATTCTTAATACGATTGAATTAGGCCAACACATTTTAATTCATACTTCATGCAAATAAAATTTATTTTTACTATAATTCCAAATACATAAGCATTGTGACTTTTATTTTATATTTTTTGTTTTTTTTTTTGTTTTAAACATTGGCAGCCCACTGTATTAAATGGATGGATGACTGACTGTCAGCCTTTGTCTGTCGGGTGACTTGCCCCATCCTTTTCCCACTTGCTGGGCAATCAAAAAGTCTTGCCCTTCGACCCCTTACAGAAAATGAATGATTGGATCAATGACGATGAGTGACTGAATGAGGGTTATTTTTGGAGGTCAGAGCGGGGCGAAGGTTGAGTCTTTGTAACTTTGAATGCCTCCCGTTTGTCCGCCATCCCCCCCACCCCTCCCCCCTCTAGTTTTTCCCCCTTTTCCGCCCCCTGCTGAACCATCCACACAAAAGCGCTTTAATGGCTTTGTTGCCGTGGGAATCCTTTTTGGCTGTGTGTGCAGACGATGAAATCGCTTCCAATGCCTTTAATGATAAGCTGGCAGATTGGCCCGCTTCCCCCAACGATTTCTCACCCCCCTCTTCTAACGGCGAAAATTAACTTATCAAACATACATTACCGAACCAGAGTTAACATTTAACAGCATTAACGTTAGCACACAAACGGCAACTCAAGTGGGGATTCCCCCCATTTTCTACACCTCTTTTCTTATATTTTTTACACAGTAAATATTTGGAAATATATAGATATACGAGTATTTTATATATATTTATAACCTTAATTTATTTATATTTATAGGTCTATTTAAGAATTTACAATTCTTGATTAAAGGCAAACAATTTCCTCTTGTACATGAAAACAAAAACCATTATAAAACATTTAAAGTGTACTTTCGTTGAACTAATTCAAAGCTATATATTATTTATTTTTCTGCGTGTGCCCCTTTCTTTGGCCAACAATCGACCTCAACTTTAACTAATGGCAGAGAACGTTCACTTCGAATTCCCCAAACAATTGAAAGTTGCCGAGATGCTGCGCCTGCCAGGATTGGAAATGTGGAAAAGGGGGTGGCAGGGGGTTCGGAAAAGCCAGAAAAGCGGGAAAAAAAAGAAAAACGTACACATAGCCTAGAGCTGTTGTTGGTCGCTGATTGAGTTGGAGCTACAGCTCCGATGGATAATGGATAATGGGGACCGACCCCAACCAAGAAATTAACTATACAAACAATAATACATTTCTTTAGTTATATTTAACTGAGCATTTGAAAAGAGAATATTAAATGTATTACTTATAATTTAGCTTAAGCTTACACTCAGTTCTACAGATCATGTTCATAATTATTTTTTTTTAAGCATTGGTGGTATCAAATGATGGGCATCATTAGCTTAAGCAATACATCACAGCTAATGTTAATGCCATTCGATTGACAATTTAATGACGAATTTGACGACATTTTCGGAGATTTGTCAAAATAAAAGACATTTCTTAAAATCTTTTTTGCATTTACATTACGATTTTGTGCGACAATTTTTAAAAGATAAACATTTTCAGTTGTGAATGCCCCTCAATTGGAAATTTTATGACAAATTCAAAGGTGTATGACATTCCAACTTTGGACCATTATTTCCCAGGGTTTTGACACAAAAACCAAGTTTTTAATGTGTTTTTTGGGATTTTTGGCGATTTAAAAAAAAAATATATTTTGAAGAGTCTTTTTGCTGTAACTTTTCCAAAATAAGACCCAAAGTCAAAAGAGTTCCTATTTTGAACAGCTGGCAACCTATGCCATCCATCCCTGATCAACGAAAAACAATTAATTTAGTTTTGACAAAAAAACCGAATTTTGAAAAACGTTTTTTGAAAAATTTATTTATGTCCAAATTTCTGACTTTTTTGTAAGGGGGTACATCATCATTTTTTGCAGAAATTTGAAAATCTGAAAAAAATTTAACTGTGAATGCCAATCGATTGGAAATTTTATTACGAATTCAACGGTGTATCACATTCCAACATTTGAGCATTATTTCCCAGGGTTTTGACACAAAAACCAAAATTTGAATGTGTTTTTTGCGTTTTTGGCGATTTTTCAAACAAAATTATTTCTGAACAGTCTTTTTGTTGTAACTTTGCCAAAATAAGACCTAAAGCCAAAAGAGTTGCTATTTTGAACAGCTGGCAACCCACACCATCCATCCCTGATTGATTAAAAACAATTAATTCAGCTTTGACGAAAAAACCGAATTCTGAAAAAGATTTTTTTAAAAATTTATTTATGTCCAAATTTCTGACTTTTTTGTAAGGGGGTACATCATCATTTTTTGCAGAAATTTGAAAATCTGAAAAAATTTTACCTGAGAATGCCATTCGATTGGAAATTTTATTACGAATTCAACGGTGTATGACATTCCACATTTTGACCATTATTTCCCAGGGTTTTGACACAAAAACCAAGTTTTTAATGTGTTTTTTTGGGTTTTTGGAGATTTTCTAAACCAAATTATTTCTAAAGAGTAATTTTGTTGTAACTTTGCCAAAATAAGACCCAAAGACAAAAGAGTTGCTATTTTGAACAGCTGCCAACCTATGCCATCCATCCCTGATCGATTAAAAACAATTAATTTAGTTTTGACAAAAAAACCGAATTTTGAAAAACGTTTTTTGAAAAATTTATTTATGTCCAAATTTCTGACTTTTTTGTAACATCATCATTTTTTGCAGAAATTTGAAAATCTGAAAAAATTTTAACTGTGAATGCCATTTGATTGTAAATTTTATTACGAATTCAACGGTGTAGGACATTCCACATTTTTACCATTATTTCCCAGGGTTTCGACACAAAAACCAAGTTTTTAATGTGTTTTTTGGGATTTTTGACGATTTTTTAAACAAAATTATTTCTGAAGAGTCTTTTTGTTGTAACTTTGCCAAAATAAGACCCATAGTCAAAAGAGTTCCTATTTTGAACCGCTGGCAACCTATGCCATCCATCCCTGATCGATTAAAAACAATTAATTGAGTTTTGACAAAAAAACCGAATTTTGAAAAACGTTTTTTGACAAATTTATTTCTGTCCAAATTTCTGACTTTTTTGTATGGGGGTACATCATCATTTTTTGCAGAAATTTGAAAAACTGAAAAAATTTTAACTGTGAATGCCATTTGATTGGAAATTTTATTACGAATTCAGCGGTGTATGACATTCCAGCATTTGACAATTAATTCCCAGGGTTTTGACACAAAAACCAAGTTTTCAATGTGTTTTTTTGGGGTTTTTGGCGATTTTTCAAACAAAAATATTTCTGAAGAGTCTTTTTGCTGTAACTTTGCCAAAATAAGACCTAAAGCCAAAAGAGTTGCTATTTTGAACAGCTGCCAACCTATGCCATCCATCCCTGATCGATTAAAAACAATTAATTTAGTTTTGACAAAAAAACCGAATTTTGAAAAACGTTTTTTGATAAATTTATTTTTGTTCAAATTTCTGACTTTTTGTAAGGGGGTACATCATCATTTTTTGCAGAAATTTGAAAATCTGAAAAATTTTAACTGTGAATGCCATTCGATTGGAAATTTTATTACGAATTCAACGGTGTATGACATTCCACATTTTGACCATTATTTCCCAGGGTTTTGATACAAAAACCAAGTTTTTAATGTGTTTTTTTGCGATTATGTTGTAATTCAATCTACTTTTATTTTGTATGACATTCCAACATTTGATCCCATTGCATCCCAGGGCTTTAATATAAAAAGCGAAACTCGAGCTGTTTATCGTAACATTGTTAATTATTCAAAATAGAAACAAATATCAACATAGCATATGCAACACATCTTTCTAGCCCGAAAGCAGAAAGGGATTCTTCTGTGTTCTGCCTTGTGCTCACCATCTGTCTGGCGTCGAAATAAAATGATTTAGTGGCGAAGGCACGAACAATAAGTCTAAGAGCGACCAAAATGCCAGCAGCACATGGACGTGGTGTCCTGCAACCCAAACACCCTTTCATTCCCCGAACCCCCCACCCCGATTTCCCAAACTTCATACCATCCAGCAACTGAAATTATTGGAAAATTCATTAATAAGCGAACGGGAAATGGGAAAATTGCGCGAACGCAGCTAAACAACAGAAACGCAAGGCGACACAGAGCGCACTGAAAACAATTGCATAAGATGAAGAAGTTTTTTGCAATTTTTGTTTCTAATATTTCATTTTAATGCTAAGCAATTTAGTTATATAAAAAACTATAAAATTTGATATCATAGTTTATAATAAACAAAGTATCATAATTTATTGAAATATATTATTTAAAAATACATCCCTAATGTATGTATTAATATAGATCCACATTTATAAATCAACATTTATTTCATATTCAAAAAGGATCATGACATGGCATTTATTTAATATTCAAAAATTATTCTATCCCTTAACTGAATTTGTATTTATTTTATTATGCAAGAAATTAAAATTAATATTAAATATTTTGTTTCAATTTCGATCTATATTTTATTGTCTGCCTGGCAAATAAAATAGGTTTTATAGTTGCAAAAAAAGTCATGCATTTCCCCGTTGGAGATCCAAACGCAGTTCAGCTTCTGTTCATAGTTTTTGGGATATCCTTGATGCCACTTCAAGAATTTGGCTGGCAAGCCGGAGGCAAGTGATTGAAAGATGCCGCTTTTTTCCCGATCATGGATGCCAAGCCAGTAGTAGGAATTGGGATTGAGTTGGGCTTTGATGGCATTAAGCTCCGATTCATTTTGGATTGCCGCCAAATAGCCACCCATTTCACGACACGTGGCTGCTGCCTCCGTCCAAGTTTGAATACTATATGTTTCTATGTAAAAGAACCTCGAACCGATTTGCTCGAATTTCGGCGGTATAACTTTGGGATTCTTTTTGGAAAGATCTTTGTGAAGGGTTTTGTTGAGAAGCGCTTGTATCTTCAGAAATTGCACATCCAAGTGGGTCTGTAGGTCCTTCAGTCGCGTCTCGAGGTCCTATTTAGTAATCATCGCCTTCAATGATTCCCGTACTTCTGTGCTCTGCTCCCCAATGCCAATCACCTTTCTCTGGACTTCAGGAATTAAATCGATCATCGGTTGCACTTTGGTGAGACAATATGCGCCACACTGACTTGGAGGATCGTTCAGTAGACACACGGACTGGCCATTATCCTGGCTATCAGCCAAATTAAGGACCAAAACGGTACACAGAAAATAGCTTACAAAATGAAACATTTCTTTACTTTCAAGACTTAACCACTGAAGGCGAATGTTTCCAACATACTGAAATAATAATTTTGTTGAAGAGACTTTAAAGTCTTTAAAATAATAAGTGCGCATTTATATTAAAATATAATAAGTATTCTAATCGCATATTTTTTGTGGCTTGGCAAAATATGTCTTTGCTTAAAGATATTAAGCAGCCTAACAAAAAAAAACAATGCGTTTTGAAAACAGTGATTATGCGGTCGTTGCACTTATGACAAAATAAGTAATGATAAAATAGTTCATGTTAAAATAAGCTACTTTAAGCAAGTCATATTTTTGGCATTAAAATATGTATTCAAACTAATATAACTTTTCTCCATTTTCTTATGAAGGTATTTTTATATTCCAATAATTGCTTTTAATGTTTAAAATTTACAACAATTATAACCTAAAAATATATCAATAAACCTATGTTTGTTAAAATACTGTAAAAAGCTTCTTGTCAGAATTATTTAAAGCAATGTACTTCAAATATTTATACGAATAGAACGAATTTTTTCGCAGTGTGAGATGTCGGAAGCGGAGATGAGATGAGGATGCCAGATGGACAGACAGACAGTTTCGTTTAATTGCACCCACATGGACTGCCTCGCATGCACACACACACACACACACACACACACCCTCCACACAAACAGCCGCACATACACACACACACGCACACATAGGCAGCTTCTGTTTTGTGTTTAGGCTGCATGAATAATTGCCAAACTGGCTTCGCAGGCCGCGAGGTGCATTTTACTGGGGAAATTGAGAGGATGCGTGGGGGGCTATATGGTGCTTCAGGGACTACAGGGGCCACAGGACCCCACAGGATCGCACAGGATTGCCGAAAGTCGAAACGGCACTTAAATCATCAATGAATGAACGAGTGAAATGCGAAGCGGTGAAAGGGAATTGGGCAAATGAGCGAGCAGATGGCAAATTAACATGAAGAAAATACAGTCATGGGATGAAGACTTCCATAAAAACTGCGTACTTAAATACAGATGTATTTCATATCTTCAAATCTACGTTATTTGTGTATTAAATGCGCCCAACCACGTCATAATCACTACTACTCAAAAACGTATGACATTTGAAAACATAGAAAAATTATCATCGAATGAGCTTATAAAATAGAAATACTAAATTAGTTTTATTCTGTACCGAAATATTATACTTAACATTCTAATCGATCATTTAAGGGAAATATCTGCGAAATATCAATAAATAAGTAGGAAAACATGGAGTTAAATGCAGCAAACACGCGCCAACTTTTAATGCACCTAATTGGCTGAAGGCTTCCTACTGACCAACTGGACACGGACTACCAACTGCCACTGACCCAGACACGGAAAGTCCTGCCCCACTCAAGTGGGGCACCTCAAGTTGTTGCCACATTCTTTCGAATTTGTGGCCAGCTTTTGGCCCGAAGGCGTAGGGCAAAGGTCACGCGACCGCAGAAGTATCACAATCCCCAAAAGCTGACCACAGCAGCGGACCCGCTTCGTTTCGGTTTGAGGCGGTCTGGTTCTGCGTCTGACTCCGGGGACTTGCCCCCAACCCAAAGCCAAGGAATCCACAACTGACTACGTGATGCCACACGATGCACTTAAAAGAAAAGAGCCTTAAACAAAGTACCTTTTAATAGAAATTATAATGATCAGACACAATTTCACAAAAAACTATTTAAAGGAAAACAAATGGTAAGTCAATAATATTGCAGTCGAATAAAAATTGGTCAGCAACTGTCGTTAAATGTTGGGCAAAATCAATACCATAGCACTATAAATATAATTGAATAAATATAACTTAATAAAAACTAAAAATACTTAAAAATTTAGATAAAATGACTTAAAAATACTTTGTTTTGAAATTTAAAGGGGGTTATCAACGTTTTTAAAGCTAATTTTTATTATAATAGAAACTTTAGCAATAATTAAGCTTGCATAATTAAATTATCAATTAAATATAAATAAGAACCAAAGGGCAAAAAAGCTAGCATTTGACTTCGAAATTTGTAGAGTGTATCTTTGCCGCTCGACTGCAGATACTCCTCTATATATTTTATTTGGTTTTATTGATTTTATAAAAAGGTTATATCTATGACTCCAACAGGGAAAGCTGCTTGATCGGGCGGTAGATATATATATATACATATATAGAAAGAGGGGAGGGGAAAATTGGGAGCAGCCAAGTTGAGGCATTTTGGCTTTTAATTTCAATTTGACAAGCAAAACAGTTGGCACTTTTTCTCTCTCTTCGACTACGTGCAAATCGTTTGGGGAGTCTGGGGAGTTTTCCGTTTTCCGTTTTCCGCTTTTCCCGCATTTCCACTGCCACTTTCCGCCCATCGCCGATATATTCCCGTCCGCATTAGAGTCGCAATTGAAGAACTCGACGTTTTACAATAACTCACGGCATTTGATGACGGCTTCTGGCATTCCCTATCTTTCGGTATGACTGTAAGGTACGGTACGTAAAGATATGGCCGAAAATTCAACAAATTGGAGCTTTTTATGAACATATTTAAATGAAATATGGCTATATATAACCAGCTTTTCAGAACTGTTAATATAATTTAATGATTTACCTAATTTTTCGTGACTCTAAAAATCTTTATTTTATCGGAAAATTATCTACTTTAATTGGAGCTTCTTATAGAATATATTTAAAAATAAAAATGGCTATAAAATATAAGCTATTCAGAGCTGTTTATAGAGTTTTGTAAAATTTATATACAATTAATGATTTACTTAATTCTTTAAAGCTATAAAAATCGTTACTCTATTAAAAAGTTATTTACTTTAATCAAAACCATACAATTTATTTAAATTACATAGCAAGTTAAAACTAATGATCTAGAAGCTTAGAGGGTTGTTTAGTGACATTTCCCTTTTAAATAAATTTCCCCATCAGTTGGGAAATTATGAGTTGAGTGAAACGCACTGTCTGAGTTTTCCTTGGCCCCATGTACGTGCGTTTAAATCTTCGATAACTTTTCTGTCGCTACGTGACTAAAATGCAATGCGACCTATAGAGACTACCAAATGTCCAAATGGCTGGGATATGTGTGCACATCCCTCGGTTTATGTGTGTGTGTGTTTGTAGGATATGATTTCGGAATTTTCCGAAAAATGAACAAGCAAAGGGGCTTTTTCTCCAACGGGGGAAAGGAAAAGGCAAAGAAATGGAAAGAGAGGAAAAGGAGCTGGATAAACCGGAGTCGAAAGTCTGTCCCGTAACCTTTGTTCCTGCATTCCAAAATATATTCAGCTTTAGCTTTCGATTTAAAGTTGCCCCAGAATTAAGTGCAAAATGTCTGCAGAATCATAAAACATTGATTTTTAGTGTGCGGCTGCAGGATATTACATTCCCTTGTCGCCCAATAAAAGCGATTGATAAACGTGCGCAGGTGAAAGGTGATTAAGTGAATGTGAAAAGGATCAATGGCAGGACGATTGCCTTATGGAATGCCAAGTGCTTGTAAAGTTTAGCCATTCAAGTTTCCTTTTCACAGTCTGTGATACTGGAAATGTATCGAGAATTTGACCAACAATTAAATTAGTAGCATTATCCAATTTCAGTTTCACAATTATTCCGTAAATGTTGTTGAGTTTTACTTTTAATTACCAATAAAATTGCACAATTCCTTGTTTTAAATTTTAAAGCCTTTCCTATGTTTTTTTGGATTCACAACTATTTTGCTCAACATTTTAACTTCAAGCAATTTAGCTTTTTCCATAAACATTTTCCATACAATATGTATTTGAATGCATCTATCAATGTGGCTTTCTCATTAATTAAAAATAATTGTACTCTAATTGATTACATAATCAGTGAGGTATGCCACTATTTCAAATATATTTGTGGCTTGTTTATATCTACTATAGTCACTGCCTAATAAATTATACAAAGTATGTAAGACACATTGTGTACATAACACAAACAAGAATTAATTTAAATTGAACTTCTGTTTGCATCGTTTATCTAATCAATCAACGTTAGCAAATTATTATTTTGTCAGAGCCAAATTCCTTATTGAAACATGCACTTAAAATTCAATTTGGCAGCCAAGAGATAAATCATAAACATTAATTTAGAGCAGTTTGGAGTTTGGGTAAATACCACCAAAATGCAGCAGATTATCAATAGACCGATTTTGGCACTCGTGGCAGGCGCTTAAATCCTTTTGAATTGTGGTGAGGACATATGTTTGCAGCTAAAAAGGCGCACAACTTCCGTTTTTCGAATCGAACATTTTTCGTAGAAACTTTCCAACTTCCTAACTTGTTTCCGGATCCAAGGACCAAACCCCTTTGCCCCCGAAAAAAATGCTCTGGACACAGCTGGCCATTAAATGCAATGCTCTTCGTCTTTTATTTCTAGCTATCCTCCTTTTCTGATAAGTGTATTCACTGCCAAAAAGGTTTGATTTTGTTCAATACTTCTTAGCTGTTTTATGGAACACGTTGGTAATAATAGGGACATAGATATATGCAAATACGAAATGTTTTTTAAAAACTCATTCTTGTTAAACGACAAAACTTTATCAAACTTTACAAAATAAAATTGTTGTGCTACTTTGTTTAAAGTAAGAACGAAACAATTTTTTGAATTTTTAAACACAATCACGTTGCGAACTATTCCTTGACTTAAATAAAAATAATAGTGTTTTTTCCAGTGCATTTATCCTGGCCAAGGAGCAAAACTATTGAAGATGGCCTGCAGCAGATGTGGGTGTTGACATCTCTGTCCTTCCATCTGTTTGTGTGTGTGTATTTGGGTGTGTTTGTGTGTGTGTTGCCTGTGGGAAAATGTGCAAGGAAAATGCAATGACAAATAGGCGACAAAACGAAATGAGAAATATCCAAGGCGGAGAGAAAGGCGGAGAAATGAAGAAATAAAGAAATGCTCGAAGAAGGCAATGTTCCAGCTGAGATTAGAAAAGCATTTGTTCCAATCAAAAAGCCAACAAAAGGGAAACACAACACAGAGTGGGGGAGAGAGAGGGGGCTATGGGTGTGCGAAAGAGACGGGTGGCAAGGCCACCAAGGCGGCGTGTCCTTTGGCCCGGCCAAACAAAATGAAGGAACAAAGGACAAATGTGTGAAGATAAACTGCCGAGGCACGTGAATGTGGTTGACTCGCTGATGGAGGAGGATACAACTGGGGGGTGTTTGGACTTGCAAAATGGGTGAAAAGCGGATGGAGAACAAGTGAAAAGGGGGCGGCGTAGGGTGAGGGCAGGGCCAAGTTTCAATTAGTGTTGCAAAACTTAATTAAGCCATAATGGCCGCAGCTATTCCACACTTTTCTCAAGCCATTGCATAAATAACAGGGACAAAAAAATAAATGTGAAAGCAACTGAAAACAAATATGATGGAACCACTGCTACCATTGTTAATGGAAAAACAGCTGCAACACAAGTTCTTAAGTAACCAAAAAATAAATTATATAATGCTCTTCTTGCAAAAACCCAAATAAAAGAATAAATAACAAATAATATAAAGTAATAATAATAATAGCTGAATGATGTATTCCTGCAGCAAAAACAGGGTATTAGTCCGTCAGTCCAATCAATCGATAGATGAATGACCAGTTGACTGAATGACTGAGTGACTGGATGACTGACTGGGCGAGCAAGTCAATGGGTGAATGGCTGACTGAGTGGATGAGTGGATGAGTGAGTGGCAGCGGACAGGATGCGGCTGGCGGTGTCATTGGCACTCCTGTTCCCAGTCCCCAGTCCCCAGCCCTCAACTGCAACTGCATCTGCATCTTAGCCTGCTCCCATTGTTAAATGCATGAAAAATTGCCGACACGGCGACGGGATGCTTCAAGGATGTACGGTTGACTTTCGCCTCGGCTCCTCGGTGCCTCGTTGCATCGGTTCCTCGGACCAGGTGCCGTAACTCATACGACGCGTTGCCCGGCAATTTATGGCCACCGACTGCAAATGAACAAAGCCGATAGACACCTTCTCTCCAGACCTTCACCAAAATGTACTTAGAAAACAGAGATTATTTTAATCAGGAGTAATACTCGCTGCAAATTTATTAAATTAATTGCAGAGTAAATAAATTTTAAAGCAAAGCAATTGTAAGTTAAGTAAATTGCTAAATCAGTAAAAGCATACTACTGATTATGATAAAATATATTAATAACTATATTCAAAAATTTCTCAAATTTATTAGTTATAATAAATCGCAAAACATTTTTTTTCCATTTTTTAAAACACTTAAATTGCAACACTATACAAAAAAATTCCAGCATAATTTTATTATCTAAATATTATTATATTATTATTTAATTATTAAAATGCTGGCCAACATTAAGTTCCTCGTTTTATAAAAATTATATATTTTTTCCTGAGTGTAAGATGTTTTTTCTTGCCAATTCCACACAAATTAAATTACAAATGGGCAGGTGAGGAACAGAAAGGGGGTGTTGTGGGTGAAGTGGGCGTGGCAGGATGCTGCCAAGGATGTCGCCTCATCAGCTGCGGCATCCACTACGGTTTCCATGGTCAATCGCCCTTAATTAACCAAGCGACCAACGAATTAATTAGCTGTAATGCGAATCCTACACTGCTCCAAAATATGATTGATTGTGTAAATTGTAGTTCAAAACTGGGTTAAAGCTCTAAAAACAAACTGTTATTTAAATTTAGCAATGGGAAAACATTTTTTTAAATCTTAGATTGTGTTTTATGGTTAATCAATTCTATGAAATAACATTTTTTTTATTTAGAATAATTGCTAGCAATCACAATCATAAAATCTTATATTGACTTAAACAAATTTTAAAAGAAGTAGCAAACCTACTAAGTAAAAAAAGATTTAAAAGAATACATAGTTTTTCCTTCATGCTTATGCTTGTAAAAATTCTAAAAAAAATTAATAGCTGTCATAAAGCCCCTTTTGCAGACCCATTTTCAGTGTTTACCAGACAAGAGTCCCCCATTTTTTTGTTGCTCAAATCAATTTGCCTGGCCTAACACGCTGTGAACAATAGCGATTTGAGTTTAATTAGCGAAATCGACTGCTAGAAAGGGGATCGGGGAAATCTGGGAAATCAGGGAAATCGGGGAAATCGGGGAGCAGGCAACTCCACGGTCTTCGATGGAAACAAGGAGCCTCAGGTGGGACAAGAGCCATTTGCATTTAATGCGCCACATTTGTTCGTGTCTGTTCGCGTGGCCAACTCGATGGAAAGATGGATGCGAATAACGTTAAGGACTTAGCCTAAGGATGAAGGATTAAGTACGAAGGACCAAGGATGATGCTGACCACTACGCAGGGAAACTATGGAGATTAATTATGACTCCAGAAATTTATGACGCCCAATCTAAGCATATACATCATAAAAAATACAATACAATACATTTTACGAATTTTTTTTAGTGCAGTTTTTGAACAGTTGCAAATCATCATAAACAAATCATAAAAAATCATGAAAAATACAAATTAATGAAAACTTTAGAATAAAATTATTATTATATTATATTTTGAATAAACAATAATTTTAAACTGGTTTCAATTAATTATTTTGTATCTTCATTTTAATAATAGCGTAATAATACACTTTACGCTTTTACACTTACATTACAATTGCATACATTATTAAATTATGTTTTAGTATTCGATCAAATAGCAGTTATTAGTATCATGTTAATCCTCCCAATCGGCTTTACTTAATTGTCCATCCTTAAACGCCAATTTGCTATCAACTACATCCAAACCCAAAATCTTAAGAGAACAAAAGGTTAAAATCGGTGGTCTATTTTCGGGCTGCGTGTGCTAAATCGTCTTTGCGAAAAGAATGCGGGGGGAAATGTGAAAATTGAGGGCTCAACAGCCAAAAATGACTTAATAACCAATAAACTTTTGTTTTCTTTATTTGCAAATATAGCGTTAAATCATCATAATAAGTTTGCGGTGTGGAAAACGCCAACGACTACTTTGCGGTAATTGAAGTTTTTGAAATAAGTAAATAAGCGCCTTGTTTAGCAAGTGCCACGCCCCCTTCGAGCCAACCACCGCCCCCAATTGCTCATTGTTTTTGGCCACGACTCGGTAATATATCAGAGGTCAGTCCCAACTGTCTGACTTGGCTCGCTTTTCCACGCATTTCCCCCGTTTCCATGCCCCAAAAATAGCAACAAATAAAGTAAAGTAAAATTAAGTGCTTAAGAAACGATTGACTCGAAGAAATAATACTGTAGAAAATACATATTTATGAATTGATTTATTTTAGATTGTTTGTAATTTAAATGTTTCAATGAGAGTTAGAAATTTGTGTTTGGCAAAAATAATAATTAAGTATTTTATAAGCAAAATATAAATACGTAATATATGAATTTATCAAGATATTTTTGTATTTTTTGTATTTTAAACAAAATATTTACAGAACATTTTTGAAAGCTTTAAATTTTGTTTTAAAGTTTTTTATATAAAATAAGATAAAATCTAAAAAAACAGAATTGCAAATATTGAACTCTAAAATGGTTTTCAATTTAATTTATTCACTTTTTGTATAGTTTTATGACTTTTATTTCAAGTATAAATTATCTAAGAAAATCTGGCAAATATATATTTATACAAACTAATTTCCAGGATACGTTTGAAATAGAATATTTGTTTTTTGGTAGGTAGGTAGCAGGCATAATAAAAATATTTGCACAAAAGTTGAGGCCGAAAGGTGGAGCTGCGCTGATTGTGTGCGGCTCACGTAGTCGGACCGCAATAAATATTGATGAGCACACAAACACAACATTAAAACATTGTGCGTAAAACGGTCGAGGTCCTGCCAACAGGACCTTATATCCGCCGGCTTCCCCTAATTTGTCTGGCACCCGCAGCAACAGTTAAAGGCAGTAAAATTTAATGACAATAATAATGCTAGTCCAGGAAATTCGAGGACTTCGCTTTTATTTTTATGCCAATTGCTGTTTGGGCGTGGGCCTGGGGATTACTTCCTACTCCCCGGAAAGGTTAGATGCTAAGGTGAAAGCTTTACGGGAATGGCCGGGAAAATATATTAAATATTTACAGCCACAAAGAGGGGAATATGTCTTAAATTACACTCCAGTCAAATCATAGCAAAAGTGGGTGGTCTTATGTGTTTTAAGATGTGATACAAAAAGTCTTTTAACGAAAGCAGACATCTATAAGTTTGGCTATTTCTAAGTTTTCGAAGGCTTGCAAAACAGCGAGCCAAAAACTCACTTCCATTAGAAACACGATTCTGAAGTATTTTAATTATTTTCTATTTATTCTACACAAAATTTTAGATCCACCCTCGCTTTGTAGAGTAATTGAATTGACCCCGCTCAGGTGTGTGTGTGTGTGTTTGTGCTTAGGGGTTCATTTAGTTGGCAATTTATCTAATAGGTTTACACTCAATCTACGAGGCCACATGGTCCACCCTAGAAATGTTTCCAAATCAAATTGCACAGAAAAGAAGACGGCACTTTTTTGTGCTCCTTCAATTTGGCAGGATTTTCGAGAGTTTTCCCCTCTAAAGACATTACTGCGGAAAACGAGGGGAAAAGCGGCGGCGAAAAACCGGGGAAAACGGGGGAAATTGATAGAAGAGCTGGCCACAATTAATTTGCGGCCAGGCTGCAATTGATAATTATCGAAATAATTCATGTAATTGCCCGCGTTTGAACAAATCGAATCCCACAATCAATGTCGCCCCAACCGCACGCTGTGTGGCGACAGGAGTCTTCTTATTATGTGCACTGAAAGAAATATTTGGTTAATTAAATAGGGAGTGCTTTTTTTTTAAGCATCAGAGTATCAGAGTAGTAGAAATTTCCCAAAAAAAAAACATAGATAAAATCCCTAAATACACACATAAATAGATACTAAAAATATAGATAATAAAATCCCTAAAAACATTAATAAATAGTAATAATATTTATATTCATTTCTTATAAAGCCAACATATCAATGAACACTAGACAAATCAAAGTAACAAATAATTATAAGCTAACATACCAATGAACAACTCTAAATAAATATTGAATAATATATTTCCATTTATTCAGTTTTTTAAGTACCATATTTTTTAAACAATGCTTTCATATTTTCATACTAATTTTCCCCAAAATTTTAATAAATATATAATAAATGCTTACTTAATTTTTTTCCTGTTTATTGAACGGGGTGTTAATTTCAATTTCGATTAGATTCTGCCTTCTCAGCAGTTGCCCTAGTGATACAAGCGGTAATCATCGCAGGATCCAGCATAGGGAGTGTGTATGCGAAAAGTAAAAGGACACTGCCACACACTTAACATTCAACTTGCGGTCGGTTGACACTTGTCTCCGATGTCTTAACTAGAACATGAAGGCTAGATTAAGACTCAAAGTCCTCAAGTAACAGAGTTAAACATGATTGGTAAGTCGAATGTGTGAATGTTGAATGCCTTAATGAAACTAAAAAGTATAGAAGTTATATTATTCAGAATTCTTCAACACTGTCTGTAGTTTATTTTTAAGACACATTTGTAAACTAAACTTTCAGTTTTTTTTTTGGGAGTACTCTAAAAAGACATTCTATAAAATTACAAAAAAAGCTATAAATATTGTATAATTACAAATGGGTTTAAAGATGCATTACCAAATCTTAAAAACCAACTTAGGTTTTTCGTTGACATTTCATATGAGGCAAAAGGCATTTCCAACCTCAGTTGTGAAAATCTGCGATAAATCCGTCGGATGCTCTTCAATTTTTAAGCTGGCAAGTGCAATCCTGCGCCCCATCGCCCCC